GCAGACATTACGATATGCGGGTTCAAAATAAGCGGAAAGTAGTATGAAGCTCAGTGAGGAGTATCGTACCCGATGGGAGGACACACTTTCTCCCTGCTCCAGTACTGATTCGCATCAGCATTTACAAGCGCTTCATAAGTTACTCGAAGTTGTAAGAGGTCGATATGACCGTGAGCTTCTTCGGTACCCATTTGAAAGCCTATGAGCTCCATGAAGGGTTGTGAGAGAATGTGTTATGTAACAACCATTTACATTTCGCTGTGTAAGGGGTAGGCAATATGCAAGTATTTCGATGACAGGTGGAAGTTATTTGAAGACTGGAGCAACCGAACGAATTGACATTGTTGTCCCTATTCTAGCGACTGGACTAGTCCAGTGTTCCAGTGTCCTCTGACTACTACTGCAGGGTGTAAATCAAGACGTGCCCTCCTTAAGCCACGCCAAAGGGCAGTGGATGTGCTACTGAAGGTGCAGATGTGAATCAAAGCCGTGCTGATTTCTTTGACATGTGGCCTTCCTCTCTTTACACTTAGATTCTCGTTATGGAATGTGGTCAGCCGAGTGAATTTTATTACAGGAGGTGGGACATTGACATAAAATGTTAGTGAAAAGACAAACTAACTGTCTCAGTCATCACGTCGTCTAAACTTATCTGCTCGCCCTTTTGCTTAAGTTTAGCCAAGCACCACCATTTAGAGGGAGAAAGAGAATGTGTCACACCTGTGTGACGGCGATGGTGATTTTTAAGAGTTGTCATATTCACCTCATCATTGCATCAATTAGCCAATGTCGGAATTTTCACTGTTTTATTATTTCTTATCAGCTAAAAAGTAGAAGTCAAATTTATCTTCCAGACAGTTCGTTGTATCCCTCATTCTTCCTTATTTCTCATTTACCACTTTTTCAGTTTCTTAGCCAAACTACTTTCTCTAAATGTCTCAGTTAACTTACTACCATAAACAACTACATTAAGGGTTGACTTTAATCATGTGTACCTGCAAAGTCCCCACTTTCTTCCTTGTCCTAGTCGTCACAGATACGTGACGCACACGCTTTGTCAGTTTCTTGTATCTCACTAGACAAAATTGTGCCTCTTATGTGGGTCATTTGAAAGATCCACTCTAAAAAGTTGACTAGACTTGATATTTGCTCTTTTTTGGCTCCTGAATTTCTCTTCTGATTTACAAAGCTTTGGTCTATGCTGAGCGCGTTTTCCTCGCCCTATCTATTGCTTGCCTCTGTGACAAATGGTGAGTATCAAAAGACTAAAATGCATGACAGATGGTGTTTTCTTGTGACAATGGGTTGTCTACGCTGTAACAATCGACCCTTCAATGAAACCCTTGCATTAGCGAATGGGTTAAACTATTATTCCTATTTGTATTTGAGGAAAAATTGAATACAAGAAGAGAAGAATACATAGGAACAAGATACGAAGATTTTGTTTAATAATAGATATTCCGGTGATTGTTGATTAGAGTAGGCTAGATGGTCGTCAGTCTTTCCTCTTCTTCCTACCAATAAACCATTACGTATTTTCCGTTTTTTACTTTTGAAGGAGGAGCAAAGGCGTTTATGATGAATAACTTTATTATCCGCCTTATTCAATGTGTCTCATCTGACTTAACCCAATTAAAGTAATTTTTAGTCCGTTAGGCTTAATGGAATTTGTCGAATATATCTACTGATAACTAGCAGATAGAGCCTTTCAGTAGTATGTACACCCCTTACAGATTTTACATACAAAATGTATAATTAGCTCAAGATTGAGTGAACTTTAAGTCTACTTTGTTATTTATTAGCATAAACATCTCGTAGAATGTATGAATTTTTGCAAGAGGTTATTATGTAATTGAGAAAAATGTGTGTCACACATATGTGACGTCAAGGTCAGGTTAAGAAATTAGTGTATCACAAGTGCGCAAAACTGATAATGACCATAATAACAAACTTCAGATATTCGCTTTATAGATTTAGCTCAATTGCAACAAGTTTGGCTTCTACAAGCCTAAGAATTTGATTTTATAGTAGGGAAATGACAGACCATTGAAACACCATATTGAAAGATTTTATCGGCTTTTAGGGTGCAGAATCAAAGGCACTTCATTGTCTAACTTACCGATGTAGTAGCACAGTACCAAAGACGAAGAGAATAGTCATGCAGATAAAGATGGCTATTCCGAGGAGGATATGGAACACAGTCACAACGGAGGCTACATCCTCATCATCGTCCCCATCACCACCACCGCTGCCATCAGTGGATTCCGTGGCATTCTGATGAAGACGACCCTGCTGCGATGATTTTTTCAATGCGGAGTCTTTGTAGGTAGCAAAAAGGAAAAAAACGACTCTTTTTGAAGTAGGATCAGGCGCCCCCACTTCTTTACACATCTCGGCAATTTTGATGTTTTGAGGAGGGAAAAGCGCATTCATATTTTGCGAAATCAAACAGATTACATATCGAATTCGTCAAGAACTTTCACTGATAAGGCAAACGCTGAAATTTTTAAAGAAGAACGAGTAGAAAGTTGTGTTCCTTGTGCCCACGTCAACTTGACTAGGTAGGGTAGTGGGGTCAGGTAAACAAAGGAGGTCTTGTGGTATTTGGGGGAGTTAAAGGTAACCATTAGGCGTACTCTGCAAAATAGCACACGAAGTGGTTGTGTTTATGTACTAAAAGGCGCAGATACGAGTAGGGCACTCATATCCTCTTAAACTCGCATATCATAAAGTCCGGTGAATACGAGAAGTGAAATTCAAACTTGCCAGTCATACAAACCGAAGTGCTAACTCGGTTGCAAAGCTGCAGAAACCAACTTCTCGGAACATCGGGAATAGCATTTAGAGAAGGTGCGATATGTGATTTGCTGTCTGTGGTGTGCATTTCAAGGCAGATAAATGCATCACCATACTGCAGTGCCTTGCAGCACATCATCGAGATGTGCTGACGCATTGCAGAGGATGATACAAAGGCACCTGGTAGAGAACGACCCTCTCCTCTTGAGAATAACAGTGGAGCACGTGTCACTCTCACCTCATTGCCATAACTGAGATCTGTGCAGACCACCTTGACACGCACTGCTTGATACACATGATTGATGTGACGTGAGTGGTGTTGAAACAGTCAGCAGACAGGTAAAACATGTGGGAGGAGGAGATGGTGACTGAGGCCAGTGGGTGATGCCTCTCATCTACATGTATAGATTGACCCTCCATTTGTTTTTCACCTCCTCTGCACATTCCACAAATACCTTCCGCACATTTCTGACTGAGTGATGTACGAGGAGGAACGGTTTTCTTGTAGCAAACTTTGACAAGTATGGGTGTGTATCATTAGTTATCTCGAAGCAGACCATTCACCATCTGCCTCTCACCTTGAAGGTAGAAAAGTGCTCTTTTGTGCACTTTTGTGCACTTTTGTGCGTGTGCTTGTGTGTGCATGTGTGTGGATGTGTGTGGCTTTGTAAGCGTGTGCGCATTTGTGTGCGTTGGAGCTTGGAGGAAATTGTTTCTGAGAGCTAGTTGACTTGCTGCAAGTAACACAACCGAGGTTGAGATGTCTCTCTTCATCCCTCTGATACAATACGATGCGATACGACTGGGTATACCACGAGGGTGTCCAAAGCGTCTGATGTGGAGAAGCAGTGGAGAGTGGTGAATCATTAGGAAGGGGAGACCTCGTACCTCAAACCGCATACCGCCTACCGCGTAGCTGACACTGGACACCGCAAAGCTTGCC